GCGGTGGCGGCGGCGGCGGCGGCGGCGGCGGTGGTGGTGGCCGCGGCGGAGGGGGCGGCGGTGGCCGCGGCGGCGCCGTTCCGCGCGCAGTCCTCGGAGCGGGGTCCGGGCTGTGCGAGATCTGGTGACGGCGCTGCGACCCCGGCTGGTGTCCGACTCCGGTGAGCGCGGCGCCAAGGGCGACATTCTCCGAGGGAGGAGGGAATCCTGAGCCAGGCGCGGGAGCTCCGCCGAGCCCCGGCCGCCTCCGCCCGGCCGAGCGCCCGGCTCAGCCTCGGCCCTTTGTCTCCTCCGCCCTCAGGGTCGCCTCCCAAGCCGCCCCCCGGGCCCCGCGACCCCTCCCCCGCTGGCGGGGCCCGGACTGAAGATGGTGCAGAAGAGAACCGCCGAACTTCAGGGCTTCCACCGTTCGTTCAAGGTGAGGGGTCCTATCCGGGGGTCTCGCTGCAGTGGCGGGTGCGAGGGATGAGCAGAGCCCACCCGGAAGGCCGGTGCTGGGCCTGGAAGGGGTGTTTGCGCTGGACTAATACGCCGGAGGTGTTGGGGGTCAGCAGGCCTCAACCCTGTCCCCGGCCGCCTATAGCTCCCTCCTCCAGGACCCCCACCCCCATCCGCAGGCTTGTGATTGGTAGCTCTGTCCCTTGCTGTCAGCCTGCTCCGGTCTCATCGCCTGTTTTCTAAGTGTGATCATAGGCGAGTCTAGTGTTTCTCTTCCCTGCAACTTCCAAGCCTGCCTTGTGCTGGTTGGGAAAGTCAGTAAACTGCAACCCGTCTTGTCTCTAACTGCCTACTAACTCTCTTCATGAACTGCCCCGGGCTCCCTTGTGATCTGTGACCCTTGCAGTCTGTCAGTCCTGCTTCCGTGTGGTCTCAGGTGAATCTTACATTTGTCCCCTGCAAGCCGGGTGCTTGTTGCAGGATACACCCTGTCCCCAGCCGCCTAGTAGCTTTCTCCTCCAGAACCCCCCCCCCCACTCCCCTGGCAGGCATGTGATTGGTGGCTCTGTGTTCCCTTGCAGTCAGTCTGATCACAGTCCTGTGCTCCCACCCCACTTTCTGTCTGTGGTCCCACCCTTTCTGTGTTGGCCTTGTTCTGGGGGGTGGGGGGGCGTGTCAGCAGGCCACAGCCCAGTTCACAGCTGCATTAGCTCCCTCCCCAGGTTGGCTTATGATCAGTGGCTCTGTGTTCCTTGCAGTCTCTCAGCCTCGTCTTCCCTAGTATATAGTCCCAGGGGAGCCCTGAGTCTGTCCACTGTAGTCTCCAAGCTGACCATGTGCTGGTTGGTTGGGATCTGCGGGCTGATCCTGTGGAGGAACCCTTGTGGGTGTGCTTGCCCCGCTGCAACCCCCAACCTGGTAGTGGCCTATGGACGACCTTCCCTCAAGACACCCCAGGCCCAAAGTGTTATTTCCTGTCAGAACAGGAAGTTTCTGCAGTGTTATTAATAGTGGCTGATTGAGTCTTGTCTTAGATGAGTGGATCTGGGGCTGGCAGAGGTGAGCAGGTGCTAGGCAGAGCCCCTCTCCCATGGGACCTGGCATAAGGGGCACAGTGATGTCAGCCTGCCCACCCCATGGGGAAGGCTGGATTATGTAATGGCTTCCTGGGGCAGGGACCTGTTGCCCTGTAGAGAGGGCAGGAGCGTGTCTGTGTGCATGCCTGCGCCCCTGTGGGAGGAGTGCGCAGATAGGGAAGAATTCCCAGGCCTGTCCAGCCAGTGCCCCTGGCCAGCTGCCCAACCCCTGCCCCAAAGGCCTGTTATCCTTGGCCAGCTGCTTTGGGGCTGAGCAGGAATGAGAGCTGAATCTAAGAATGTCACCTACATTGTTTTTTGCTCTCCTGGGGCTTTGTGTGAGCCTAGACGGGGTCAGCGAGGCCACTAAAGCAAGCCCTAGCTTTCTGGATGGTTCCAGCCGCCTCCCGCCAGGCCTGCTGACTCAAGGCCCTTGGCCAGATCCAGGGGAGGCTGGCTGGACCAGGCTGGACTGCCCACACAGCACTTGGGACTGCAGGCTGCCCTCTGCGTGGCCACTGTGCAGCGCTGCACAGAGCTGGGACTATGGGGAAATTCGGCTGGTAGGTAGCCCTGCAGGTGGCCTGGGGCTAGTCCCCAGAGGAATCTCCCTCCTGGAACTCCACCCCATGTGGCTGCATCCTTGGAGGCAGGCCACTGCTTCTCAAGTGCCCTCAGTCGGTAGCTGGGCAGAGAGGAACAGCTGCCAGTCCTGCTGGGCTTATTTACCTAGTTTTCTGTTTATCTTTCTGGCATTCAGGAAGCGCTGGGGATGGAGCCTGGGGCCTTATGCCTGCTAGACAGATGCTCTACAAACTCAGCTGCAGCCCAGCCCTAGTTTCCTATCTTTAATGTACAGATTGGGAGACTGGCGGGTGCCCCTGGAGGTCTCCCTACAAGGATGTGGTCCTGCTGATTTCCTTGTGCAGGGTTCTGGCTGGCTCTTGTGTCCCAGTCTTTTCAGCTGAAGACTGGGACAAGCAGGTGGGGACAGCGGCCTCCCGTCTCTCGCCCTGTGACAGTCCACCCAGAGGAAGGTCACCAGGCTGAGGTCATGGAGCAGGTGCCCTGCCTAGCCTTTGATCTCAAACTTGGCTCACCTTCCTTTCCACTTGCTCACCAACCCCCCGCCTTGTGTGCTGCAGGTGGCTGCCCTGGGCCTTCCAGGCACCAAGGTTTTTCAAAGCACTGGGTGTGGGTGCCTTCTTCCCCATGGCCTGCTAGGGTGCCCCCTTTCCTGCCAGCCTCCTAGTGATTCTCTGCTGGAGGCAGGACAGCTTGCAAGGTTGTTTCCACATTGCTGTTGGTCTGCCTCTGGTCTCCAGGTATCTAGTTCCTTCTGCTGTAGCCCTTCGGGGTTCCCCGAGGGTATTGTGGATAGACTTTTCTCTTGTCAGCTCCTCCCACTGTGGATATCCAGAGAGAGGCATGGCTTAACCCAGGTTCCTCGTACCCGTGCCTTCTTCTCTGGATAGGTTGCTCACTCAGAAACTGGGGTGTGCCTCAGTTTCTAAGCTTGCAGACCCAGGTGCCAGCAGCACCCATTATGAAGAAATGTTGTATTTCAGCATGCTCCTGTCCAAACCAGGAGGTTTCTCTGGCCTTCAGCTCTCACCTTCCCTGGTCAGTCTTAAGACCTTCCGCCCATCTGGCAGCTGTGTCCTTTGGTGTCCTACTTGAACTATAGGTATGAATTTGAACCCTGACCACCCTAAAAAGGGTCCTTAGACATTGCAGTCTGTGGATGGGACAGGGCCCTAGACACTCATACCAATGGGTACCATGCCTGTGAGCCCCCCTTGCCACCGGCTATGTGTACGAAATTGGTGACTCCAAGGGCTGTCAGTCCTTAGCAGACAGGAGGCTTTGGAGACATGGAGCAAGTTAGTAAGGTGCCATGTACACAAAAATGCTCCCTACCCATGACCTCCGGAGCCTCCCAGACGTCAGGCACTATATTTACTTTTGTGGAAGTGAGAGCACTCGCATGCATAGGGAAAGTGGTGGTGTCCTGTGCTACAGGGAAACTGAGCTCCAGAACCTAAGGGTGTGGCCCAGAGCTAGCCTAGGAAGCTGTGGGAAAACAAGCTGCCAGCCCTGCCACCACCACCGCCTTTGATCCCACGCTGGTCCCTGAGGTCAGCCCTCAGTCAGCTGGCTGGACAGGCGTCCCATGCTACCCATGAGCAGACAGGGCAGGCCATGTGGCTTAGACTTCCGTCACTCAGCCCTGGGCTTGGAGAGGAAGGTCATGCTCCTCACAGTCAGGCAACAGGGTCACTTGGTGCAGTTGCACACGGTTGCTTAATTCTCCGCGGGGTGTCCCTGGCCTCCTCCCACCCCACACCAGTCACAGAGGCAGCTGATGGCCATGTGGCCCAGTAGTTCCTGAAACCCCAGAGTTGGGATTCCGTGGCCTCTAAGGGACTCTGAAGTACTCCTAAGAAAGCCCACATGCTGAGTGAGGAGGGGTCAGTCACAGGCTATTGCACCCTGAATGCCCATTGGGTGTCCAAGACCCTTGGGTGTCCAGTTGCTCTTGGCCTCAGCACTGTGATGGAGTGATCATTTGTTGCTGCATACTGGGGTTTCCGGCAGAACCACCCAAGCATTTAATCCCCAACAGGGGCAGAATCCTTTCGAGCTGGCCTTCTCCTTAGACCCTACCCAGCACGGGGACACTGACTTCAGCCCACAGTGTGAGGCCCGACCTGGTGAGCACCTGGGAGGTGGGCAGGACATGGGGGGGGTCTCTGTAGGGAGCTAGGCTAGGCCAGACTACACACCATCTGGGTCTCTGTCCTCTGCAGACATGCCCTCCAGCCAGCCCATCGACATCCCAGATGCCAAGAAGAGAGGCCGGAAAAAGAAGCGCTGTCGGGCCACAGATAGCTTCTCGGGCAGGTTTGAAGGTGAGTGGAGAAGGGTGCTGCTCCTGCCGGGGAGGGGACCCTGGGCTACTGTCCCTCACCTCTCCTTTCGCACCCTAGATGTCTACCAGCTTCAGGAGGATGTGCTGGGGGAAGGGGCCCACGCGCGTGTGCAGACCTGTGTCAATCTGATCACCAACCAGGAGTATGCTGTCAAGGTAAGCTGGGGCCCGCCCCAGACGACAGCCTCGGAAAACCAGTATCTAAACATGGCCCCAAGACTTGTGACTCAGCCACCTGGGAGTCCAGATCAGACCTAGAGTCACTGAAAGGCACGATGACAGCTGGTCCTTGTCCCCTCCAGTATGGCTGCGGAGGGCTGGAAGCTTCTGTCAGAGCATGCTGGCCTGCCTGTTTTCTAAGGCTGGTCCTCTGCCCAAAGGAGGACTGGCCTGAAGGAGGGGTACAGAAATTGAAACGCTGCCGCAGCACTTGGATCCTGAGAAGCTGGCACTTGGAGAAACCCAGTACAGATCCTCCAGAGAGTCCTGTGTGCCCTTTCCCTCCCTTCTTGTTCCTAGAGCCCTGACAGGCCCTGGTATAGCCTAATGACCTTGTAGGGCCAGCCAGTTATCCTGTGTCCAGGGAAACCCTGTGGCTGCAGGAGGAAGAAAAGGGGAGTTCGGGTGTCAGAGTCAGAGCAGTGGTCCTGTCCCTGGGTATTCCCAGGCAGGTGTCTAGCTGGCTGCTTTCCTCCTAGTGACCCTTGCAGGGCAGCTTTGTCGCTTGTCATCGACAGCTAGGGAAGCTGAAGCCTAGAGGGGACGGGTAGCCTGACTTGTGTTTGCTATGTGGTGGCTTTCCATTGGTGGGTGCCCAGGACCTGGGGTCCTCCTGGTGATGTCCCCAGTGATGATTGACACCTGGGGGTAAAGGGACGGGCTGGTGTCAGCACAGGACATGGCAAGGGCCGAGGATGGGATGGCTAGAGAACGTTAGAAGTACCTGGTGGCACAGGCTCACTGTGGGAGGACACCAGGGAAGGCCACTCAACTGTTGGAGAGATAGATGTTTCTGTGGCGCTGTCCTCAGCCTCCGAAAGGGCGGGGTTGAGATTTATTAGCATCATCTAGAGTTTGGTCCGCCCTTCAGATCTGGCTCTTAGTGATGGGAGGCCCCTTGCTGGAGGCCCCTTGGTGTCTGTTTGTTACCAGGCACCAGGGGGGTAACCTGGCAGTGGGACCCTGCCCTTCCACCTGCTGAGTGAAGGGCGTGAGGCTGTCCACCCGGGAAGAGAGAGCCAGGGATCCTGGGACTCCTGAGAGCAAAGATTCTCTAGGAGAAATGCCTTCTGGGCCTTCCATCTACCGGGTGCAGTGGGGCCAGCTTCCTGAAGTTTGCCCACTGGTCTAAGCCAGATCCAGGCACATGGAGCCAGTTTCCCAATCTGGTCTGGAGTAGAAGAGGCAGGACTTGGTGTGATAACTGGCTGGGCCAGCAGCCAGAGGCCAGAGAGCCACCTTGTTGCATGGGTCATGTGAGAGCTGGCACTGCTTGGCCCTGCCCTTTCTGGGGCAGGTGTGGCAGCCACTTATGGAGGGGCTCCTGGGCGAGGGTGGAGAACTGGCTGCTTCCTCCTCCTTGCCTGAGCCCCCCTGAGCAACAGGGTGCCCTGCCCATGCTGACACTGCAGTCTGACTTCTAACAAATTCCAGGCCCACGGCAGCAAAGTTCATGTAGTGTCCGGGTGGCCTGTCGGGGACTTGGGGACACCTCGCAGGCGGCCTCTGGGCAGCCTGTCCAGGTGCTGTGTCCCTTCCTGCGTTGCAGATCATTGAGAAGCAGCTGGGCCACATCCGCAGCAGGGTGTTCCGGGAGGTGGAGATGCTGTACCAGTGCCAGGGACACAGGTAAGGTGGCTCGCCCAGGCCATCCGTCCAGAGTCCACGTCAGCCAGGCACGGGCTGGCCTTCGCCAGGAAAACAGGCTTTCTGTGGGCGCACGGCACCATGGGGACGTTACCTCCTGTGCTGGGCAGCAGGTGATGAGGGCTCAGGATGCCTTGGTTTCTTCCCTCCCAACTCAGGAATGTTCTCGAGTTGATCGAGTTCTTTGAGGAGGAGGACCGTTTCTACCTGGTGTTTGAGAAGATGCGTGGCGGTAGGTGCTGCTGGGGGTGGAGTGGTGGCTGGGCAGCATAAGAAAGGACCCTCCATGGGCTGGACCTCCTGTCCCAACACCCACAGCCCAAGTTTGGGCCCAAAGAAGCCCTAGGGCAGCCCTGGTGGAGGGCCGGGGCAGTGGGAGGTTGCTGGTTTACAGAGGTGATGTAGCTCTCTCCCCTGCACCACAGGGTCCATTCTGAGCCACATCCATAGAAGGCGTCACTTTAACGAGCTGGAGGCCAGTGTGGTGGTGCAGGACGTTGCCAGTGCCCTGGACTTCCTGCATAACAAAGGTGTGGTGGGCTGGGGGTGCCCCCAGGCCCGGGTGCTTTAGAGGTACCCACTCCTAACTCCCTGCTCCACCTCCCAGGCATTGCCCACAGGGACCTGAAGCCAGAGAACATTCTGTGTGAGCATCCCAACCAGGTGAGCTGTCTGAACTCCACCCCACCCAGGCTCTGGCACGCCCTTCCCCTGTGAGGGAGCCAGGATGGGGAGGGTGCATGCAGGGCTCTCACAGTGCCTGGCCGCCCCCAGGTCTCCCCCGTGAAGATCTGCGACTTCGACCTTGGCAGTGGCATCAAACTCAATGGAGACTGTTCCCCCATCTCCACGCCGGAGCTGCTCACCCCGGTGAGGGCAGTGGGAAAGGCGGGGCAGCCGACAGGCACTGGGCTCAGGTGCCAGGCCGGCTCTGCAGCTTTCCGACGCCAGCTTGGCCTTCCACTTAGCAACAGCAGCTGGTTGGCTGGGCGGGGCTGGGGTGTAGTCAGGCCCATCACCTGCTCCTGCATCAGCAGTCTTTGATTGGCCAGAGCCGGGTCCTCCTGACTTGTGCCTGCCCCACAGTGCGGGTCAGCGGAGTACATGGCCCCAGAGGTGGTGGAGGCCTTCAGTGAGGAGGCTAGCATCTACGACAAGCGCTGCGACCTGTGGAGTCTGGGCGTCATCCTCTACATCCTGCTCAGCGGCTACCCGCCCTTCGTGGGCCACTGTGGCAGCGACTGTGGCTGGGACCGCGGGGAGGCCTGCCCTGCCTGCCAGGTGCGCCCTGCCTGAGTCCCCTCCCCATCCTGCACTGGGCCTTGTTCCTGGGCTCCCTAGAATGAGAAGTGATGTGCTGGCCCAGGAGCCAGGACCCCAGACCTTTTTCCTTATTATTTGCATATGTTCTGCCTGCCTGTATGTATATGCACCATATGAGTGCCTGGTACTTGAGGGGCCCAGAGCAGCATTGGGTGCCATAGGACTGGAGTTACAGATAGAGCAGCTATGTGGGTGCTGAGAATCAAACTTGAACCCTCTGCAAGAGCAGCTGGTGATCTAACCACTGAACAGTTGTCTGTTTGGCCCTGTCCACCTGGTCTTGGGACCATCTCCAGTGCCCCTCATATTCCCCCCCTGTGCTTATCCCCACCCCGTTAGGGCATCTGAATGGGTCCATGTCTGTTTTGGGGTGACTCTTCCCCACCCCCATCCCCAGAACATGCTGTTTGAAAGCATCCAGGAGGGGAAGTACGAATTCCCTGACAAGGACTGGGCCCACATCTCCTTCGCTGCCAAAGACCTCATCTCCAAGCTGCTGGTCCGAGATGCCAAGCAGAGGCTGAGTGCTGCCCAAGTCCTGCAGCACCCCTGGGTGCAGGGGGTGAGCCTTGGGGCCTGAGGAGGGGAGGAGCAGGGTGCCCAGCTTCATCTGCTGGGCCCTGGGCTTTCAGCAAGCCTATAAGGAGGACCTAGCATGGAGGCTGGGAGCGGTTCCCCTCAGGGCTTGCAAGCACCCTCCTGCCCAGCAGACTGTCTGGGGTTGGCCCCCCAGTGAGGCCCCGCCCCTCCAGGCAGCTTGCTTTCTTAATGCTGAGAGTCCCCAGGTTAGCTTGGCTGACACCCCTTCTGGGGACAGTCTGCAGAAGGCACATGCAGACTGAGGATCTATGGGTGGGTCTGCTGATGGCGGATACTTGGGCTAGTGTTGTCAGGACCCTCAAATGCCCTCTGACCCCTGCCCCTGCCCTGCCTTCTTCTTACAGTGTGCGCCAGAGAACACCCTGCCAACACCCTTGGTTCTGCAGAGGTGAGGCCTGGGGTCTTGAGTCAGGAATGTGTTTGGGTTTTTTTATTTTCCTGGGATGCTAGAGGCTCCTAAGCTGTAGGCCCGCAAATGCTCAGCAAGTACCTTAGCACTGAGCCCCTTGGGGTGTTAGGGCCACAGAAGCCTAAGTGGGGACCAGGCTCCTGAGCTTTTGTGGTGTACAAGTTGGGGTCTCGGTGTGGAAGGGCCTGGAGTTGGGGTGGGCGCCTCCAGAGGGCTGCAGAGAAGGGCACAGTCTTGTGACAGTCCCCCATCCTGTCCCCAGGAACAGCTGTGCCAAAGACCTCACGTCCTTTGCAGCTGAGGCCATTGCCATGAACCGGCAGCTGGCCCAGTGCGAGGAGGACGCCGGGCAGGACCAGCCTGTGGTCATCAGAGCTACCTCACGCTGCCTGCAGCTGTCCCCACCCTCGCAGTCCAAGCTGGCCCAGAGGCGCCAGAGGGCTAGCCTGTCGGCCGTCCCAGTGGTCCTGGTGGGGGATCGTGCGTGACCCCCACCCCCTTGTACATACGCCCCGGGGGCCTGAAGGCTAGGGACCTGGACGCCCTTGCTGTCCCAGGCCCCGGCTCAGCTGGGTCCTACTAGCGGTGTAGGGATCTGTTGAGAGGTGTTTTCTTTTTCTCCCCTCCTCACCCTGCCCCCGCCTACTTGGCTTTGTTTTGTTTGTGTTCCTTTTGCCGCTATTGAAAGCAAGTGCCCAGAGGAGGGCGGAGGGTTCAGCCATGCCATGCGGCCTGCACCCCGCGATGCTCGCCTGTCAACTGTGAAGGTCCTGCCACCTGCGCCCCCACCTCCACTCCAGCCACTCTGCTGTCTTCCAGGGCTGGGGATCCCGCAGGGTCAGCACCCACACCTCTCCCTAACCCTCAGTATTGTCAGGGACAGGTCCTCCTGTGAGCACAGTCTTTCTGTCTCCCCAATAGAGCACCCTTGGGTCTGGGGCAGGGGCTCTCTGTCTTGGATAGAGACCTCTGGGTGGGGCAGGTGGATAGGGACAGCATACTTGACTGATCCCTAGTCCCCAAGGGACCTGCTGTGTCCCCTAGAGGGTTGACAATCAGAAGCCCCTCCCAGGCTGCTTAGCTCCTTCCCCTGGGACAGGCCTGTTGCTCCCAACCCCAGTTCCCAGGGGCAGAGATGGAGGGGGACCCTGCAACTAGCTAGCTTCATCGGGGCAGGAGAGGTGCTGGACAAGGCCCGCATCAGCAAACATGGGGTTCCCGTATGTCTCCCCATCCAGGGCACCTGAGTGCCCTTCTCAGGGCTCAGCCTGACCACGGCCGCTTCCTGCCCCATGGTATCCCTGGGTCTGGGGTTCCTTTAAGCCCTCCCAGCTGCTTCTGTTACCCAGAGCTGCGGCCACACCCATGAGTCCCTCACCTTCCCTAGGGTCTGCCTGCTTTCAGGGTCGAAGCTGCCTTGGCCTCTCACTGGGCACCCAGGAAAGGCTGGGAAGGGGTGTGGTGAGCATGCAGTGTCCAAACCTAACTGCCCGAGGCCTGCGGACTGTTCTAGCCACGAACTACTATGCAATACGAGTTCCCATTTTCTCCATGGCCCTGCTGGTCAGGGGCGGCTGCCGGGGCCGGGCCACCCTGCCCTGCAGCTGCTCTGCTCAGGTGTCTACAGGGCAGCCCCTGGCCTCAGAAGTCCTTGGTCAGGGTTGTTTGTCGCATTTAGTTTAGGTTTTTTAGATTTGACTTGCTTCCCTGTGCTTGAAGAGTACTTGAATGTTGGGGTCTGGTGGGCGGGGCCACTGCCCAGCTCCCTGCTCCCCTCTCATAGGATCGTCACAGTAGGGGTGACATGCCATCTGTCCTGCCCTGCCTGCCTCTGTGGACACATTTCCAAAGACCCCCGGGAGGCTGGGGTCCCACCAGTCGCCCCGGTTTCACTCCTCGGCATGAATGGGCTGTCGGGCACCTGACTGGACAGTGGGCATCGGTGGGCCCTCCCCAGGGCAGGGCTGTCTTTCCCTCTGTCCCTCCAGGCCTGACCTGGAGGGCGGGTCAGACCCTTAACTGTGAATGAGCTGTCCTGGGTGGCTTGGCCACAGACCATGCTGAAACCTGGAGACCCTGTTGCAGAGTGGGGGCATGCAAGCACTTTCAGCTCCATCGACCAGGTGACCCCACCACTCTGGACTCCTTTCTCACCGCCTGTCAACGCCAGGATTTTGTATCTTGTTTTGTAAGGATTTAATAAAAGTCATTTAAAAATCTCTGTGTAGTGACGGCAGCAGAGGTTGCTGCCTGCAGGTCCTGAGTCACTGCTTCACCGCACACCCCTCTGGATGTGTCCCAGGGAGGTGACATCACCCGAGGGAAGCACAGGCTAAAGAAAAACAAGCATTGGGCCAGGCAGGCTGGGACCCAGAGGGGTGGCCTTAGGTGCCCGAGGGAGGGTGGTCTGGAGCAGGGCTTGCTTCTGAGGGTGTGGGGTCTCCCACAGCCCAGGCTGACCTCAAACCCTATATAGTGGATAAGGACCCTGAACTCCTGGTCCTTTCATTTTTACCTCCAAGATGCTGGGGTGGCAGCCTCCACGCTGGGTTTGTGGCCCGTGACCAGGGCGACCAGACTTGATTCAGCCCAGTCAGGGACTCACAGGACTACCAGGAGAGGGCTGGTGGGGACTGCGGCATTGCCTGAGCACCGCTCCGGGATTCTCCAACGCCAGGATTTCCCTGCTGCTCAGCACACAGATGTAGAGGAGGGCGGGCTCCGCGGCTGCGAGAAACCACAAAAATAAATTCTAATGCAGCCTCCGCCAGGACGAGCTGTTCCTGGCAGGCGGCAGAGGGCAGGGAGCGGTCACCGCCAGAGCTGGCAGGGCCTGGTGGGGTGTGGTGCCACCTGGGAGGGTTAGAGATTAGCATGTGGTCTCTGGGCACAGGAGACTGGGAGGGGCAGGGCCTTGGCATAGGCCAGCTGCTGGTTCAGTGGGTAGGTTGCTGCCCAGCAGACCTGAAACACTGGGGTCCACACACACACCCTCAAGCACACACTGGAAGTGGTGGCCTCAAAAAAATAAAAAGACTGAAAAAGAACCAGGCCCGGTGACAGGTGACGCACACCTTTAATCCCAGTGCTCAGGAGGCAGAGGCAGGTGAATCTGTCAGCTCAAGGCCAGCCTGGTCTACAGAACCAAGCCAGCCATGGCTACACAGAGAAACACTGAAGAAAAGAAAAAAAAAAGAAAAGAAAAGAAGAATTGGTGGCTAAGTGGAGGATCCAAGGTTCAAGGTCCTTCTCAGCATAGGGACTTTGAGCCCAGCCTGAGCTACAGGGACTTCTGTCTGAAGAAATAGAAGTGTGCCGCTGACTTGCCTCCACACACCAACCACCTCACTTCTAGTCCCTGAACCCCATAAATTGTCGTCTGACCACCCACTGACATTCACACACAGCATTAAGTAGATAAAAAATTGTTTTGCTGGGAGATGATGTGGGAGGCAGAGGCAGGCAGACCTCAAAGTTCGAGCCCAGCCTAGTCTACAAAGTGAGTTCCAGGACAGCCAGGGCTGACAGAGAAAAAATGAACAAATAAAAAAGTTCAGTGAACGGACAGGCATGGTGGTGTACACAGAAAAAAACAAAATCCAGTTATGAAAAATGCTCTAAGGCTAATGCTCTTCTAGCTTTAATTCTGCCGTGAACTTTTTGTTTTCCCCATTGAGGAAGTGTGGCTCCAGACGAGGAGCCACGGCTTCCGGCCTGAAGGCCTGCTCTGACTCTATAGTGTTCTGCACCTCCAGCCACACAGATTCCGGGCCTGCGTAGTTTGGGTGTGTGATGCTCTGTTTTGTTTTATTTTACTTTTTCGAAACAGGGTTTCTCTGTGTAGCCCTGGCTGTCCTGGACTCACTTTGTAGACCAGGCTGGCTTCAAACTCACAGTGATCTGCCTGCCTCTGCCTCCTGAGTGCATACAGGCGCGTGCCACCATGCCCGGCAGTGTGTGATGTTTTAATTTATTTGTAAGTATTTAAAATATATAATAAAGCTTATTTATGAAAAAGCAAAAATAAACTCCTGGAAAGCAGGGAGCGTGCTGGTGTAGGGCTTTCTCTAGAGGCCAGGGTTGGTAGGGCTGCTTACAAGAGAGAAAGGAAGACACCAGAATCCACAAACACCCTTGAAAGAGGTTGGCAGTGAAGCTTGGTGTGTGCCATCCTGAAACCCTGCCTCGTGGAAGGAGAAGGTGAGAGGATTGCTCAGAATCGCACACCCTTGCCTAAAAAAATGAGCACATAGACCTGGCAGTGCGAGGTGAGCCTGTGAGCCCAGCACTTGGGAGGCAGAGGCAGGAGCATCTCTGTGAGTTCAAGGGCCTACAAATCGAGTCCAGGACAGCCAGGGCTACACAGAGAAATCAAAAACCAAGAGAGAGAGAGAGAGAGAGAGAGAGAGAGAGAGAGAGAGAGAGAAGATGGAATTATGGTAATGATGATTAATGGTATAGGTGGTATAGTGTAGGAATGGAGCCCCGCCCAGAATCCCCAGTGAGGGCTGGGGGCGTGGTCAGGGTGGAGCCCCGCCTAGAGAGGCCCAGTGAGGGGCTGGGGGCATGGTCAGGGTGGAGCCCCGCCTAGAATCCCCCAGTGAGGGGCAGGGGGCGTGGTCAGGGTGGAGCCCCGCCTAGAACCCCTACTGCCTTGAGCCCCACAAGCATGCCTTCCACCGCTAACCAATGACAGCACCCTAAAAATAAAGAAGAAAGGCAAAGGTTCTTTAAAGGGAAGGGGAGTAAGCATGAAAGGAATATTCTGGGATCACAAAATCAGGCTGTTTGAAGTTGGTTCGCTCACAGCCTGGATGTTTTCCCAACAAGGAAAGTCAAAAGAGACTCTTGCTGCCTCCTGAGCTCTGTGGCCTAGAGCGTTGGCGGCTTTTCTCTTTGAATATTGTCTTCAGAAGGTTACTTGTCCTATGTCTGTCTGCCCGTTGTTCGGTCCATGTTGTCCACACTGAGATGAGCTGAATCTAGGTTTCCAAAGATGTCCTGCAGGGATCGCAGGACTTGTGGCTGCATCGCCTGGTGTGGAAGACCCAGCAGAAGGGCCTAGACCTTCAGACTCCCATCCTGGAGCACCCGGGCTCAGGGGTACCAGAGAGAGAGAGAGAGAGAGGAGACAATGCACCCTCCACACAGCCCTGCTGCTGTAGACCAAGGGGCCACCAGCTGAGAGAGGCAGGCCCTCTGGATGCTGAGAGGGGAGGACACAGGGGCTCCTTGGAGCTGCCGACGAGGCTGCAGGTATCCTACTGGGGCTTGTAGCTCACGAAGACCCTTGTCTGACTCCACACCCTAGAATTTAGGACACACTGCACTGTGTTAGGATTATGGCTGTAGGGGAGGCCAGAGCTGAATGGACACAGCGCTCCTCTAACATTCAGGAAGCCCTGGGCTCTGCCCCTCAGCACTAGAAGGTGGAGGAAGGGGCATTAGGTCTTCAACGTCCTCCTTGGCTACAGCCTGGGCTACACAAGAATGTCTTTAAAACGTAACAGATTGCTTGCTTGCTTCCTTCCTTCCTTTTCTTCTTTCCTTTTTGAAACAGGGTCTCTACTTTATGTAGCCCTGGCTGTTTTGAAGAATAGCTACAAAGACCAGGCTGGCCTCAAACTGAGGTCTGTCTGTCTGCTTCTGCCTCTGGAGTGCTGGGATTAAAGGCCACCACCACACAGCCAGAACTGAGCAGCATCTGCCTAATGTCACTACCTGTATAATCACAGCCCTTCCCTGTTGACTGTTAGCTGGCCGTGACCCCCCCCCCCCCGCCCCAGCCTCCCAGTGATCCAGTGTGTCACAATCACAGTGAGCGTTTCATTAGCAATTCAAGAGTAAAGTCTCCAACAGCAGGTGTTTAAAGATGGCTGCCCAGGAGAGCTGTCTCAACCCTCAGCCTTTGGCTGCAAATAACAGAAAACCGACGGGACTTTCCCAGGACAGTGAAGATATTTATTAGTGGGGGGGGGGGGGGGGGGGGCCCTGAGCTGCCGTGGCCTGCAGGCAAACCATGATCCAGGTTGTTGAAACCTGTTCTCCTGGGTTCCTCAGGCTAGGATTCTTTCTTAGCCTGGTGGGTTGGGCTGTGGGGGTATGGAGTCAGGGCAGGCCCCTTCTGTCCAAATTCCTCTGCCGAATCTGCTTCTAGATGAGATGTCATGAGACTCAGGACTGAACTAGTCAGCTGGTGCTAATTAAACTGTTGTAGCTTGTCTCTTCCTCCTCTCCTTTCTCCTTCTCCTCTTCCTCCTCCTCTTCTCCTCATTCTTCTGCTCCACCTCTTTTCCTCCTTCTTCTCCTCCTTGTTCTTTTCTCCTTCTTTTCCTCCTTCTTTAGTCTGAGGCAGGCAGAGTCTCCCTGAGTCGCCTGGGCCAGCTTTGACCTTGTGATCCTCCTGCCTCAGCTTCTCCGGTGCTGGGATGACAGGCGTTGCTCGCCATGCCCAGATGCATGGTAATCTTCGGCAGACAGTGCCAGGGTTGTCTCCTCGGTTGTCACTGGCCACAAGTGGACAGACCTTACAGTCTGGAGCCTGGGCTCTCAGTTCTCTCTGCTTCTGAGTGCCAAACTGTACTCCCAGTTGGTAAAGGCAACGGTGATCCACACAGGGATTGCCCAGGGGAGCCACCTCCTACGTCCACAGCCAGTTCTGGCCACCTGAGCCTGGGGCTTGGGGGCTCCTGCTGGCTTCTGCATACCCCAGCACCCTTCCTCTGGGTGGGGTGCTGAAGCTGTACCCCGGCCCACTCTTTGGAGCCACAGTGCCCATAGGATATTCCCTGCTTTATGCTCAGCCTCTACTGGCCCTACGTGTTTTGTTTTGTTTTTTTGGGGGGGAGCAATGCGTATCTATTGACATTTGCTCTTGTTCTGTTTCATTTTAGACAGGGTCCCTCTTTTGTGTAGCCCTGGCTGTCCTGGAACTCACTCTGCAGACCAGGCTGGCTTCAAACTCACAGAGATCTGCCCGCCTCTGCCTCCCCAGCACTGGGATTAAAAGCTTGGGCCACCAAGTCTGACCTCTGTGGAGTTCTGACTGCATTAGTACAACTCCCACTCACAGGCTGCTTTTCCTAGCCTCAGTTTCCCTTTCTGGACTGAGAAGCCCACCTCATTGGGCAAACAGGCTATCTGGTTCTGGGCTCCGGAGTGTGGGGTTTGGGGAAGGGGAGCCAGAATGTAGGAGCTGGGGTTACAGTCTGGGAAGTGT